ACTTTTATTGACGACTTTCTTAAAGTTCCAGTATAATTACTTGTACATTGATGATTATTATTATAATGAAGAGAAATTCTGCTTCCAAGATGAGAAGATTAATGGTGAGATCGAATGGAAAATTAATTATTGCAAATATGACCACGACTTTAAAAAAATATTTTATTTAATCGGTAAGCTTCAATATTTACATCATTTCATTTAATTAATTTTATTCTCTTATCATTTCCTTAGTATTCTCTGCAGCAGTGATAATGTTGAGCACTGTTGTCATAATTTATGCTTTCGTCAGAGAACTGAAAACTCTCCATGGGCGGATTGTGTTGATGTCAACTGCAAGTTTAATTTTTGATTATATTTTATGTCACACTCCCTTATTGGATATCTTTTTCAAAACATATTCAAGTTTTACTTTCATCATGGTTTTTTCAATCTCATTTGCAATTAAAGTTCATTGGTTGACCATCATGTGTTTTGACATCTGGTTGACATTTCGGTATTTAAAATTTCAAAACAATTTTCTGCTTATAATTTGAAGTTTTTATTAACAAAAATTTAGAAAACTTAGATCATCCTCTGATGGAATGGAAAGATTCAAATATTATTGCTTTTATGCATTTGGATTGACAGGATTGGAAATGTTTTTCTACATAATCGGTGAATATTTTCTTTATGATAGCATGTGGAGGAAATTTCGCGCCACAATTGTCATAACATTCACTACGTTTTATGTTATTGCTTGGATTTTAAATATTGTATTGCTGATTATCACTGGTATCAAAATATTCAAAATGTCGAAGTCTTCAAACAACTCAGAACATTCGTGGTTCGAGAGTGAAACATTAAGGTTTAAATTTTTGCTTAAAAGTTGCAGATTTACTTATTAAAATAATTTCAATTTTTATACTTTTATAGATACTGGAAAATATGTTTCTTTTTTCGGAATCTTATCAGGAAGAATGATTAACGAAATGATCAACCCGTCAATCTATTTCGAATTTAGTTATTCTAGTCTTTCTGCTATTTTGGAACTTTGTTCAGCATTCTGGATTTTCGTGATATTTGTTTTACAGAAAGATGCTCGAAATGTGATATTTAAGAAATCTGGCGTTGTACATGAAAGATTTAATCAATTATTTTCACAAAATATTTGAAGAATTGAATGTCGATACTAAAATATAATAAAAAGCATCCACATTCGTCTTAAACATATGTATAAAAAGAAATATGCTATTGCAAGCGATTCAGTTACAGTGAACTCTCCCTACTACATCTCTCCATACAACATTCCACTCAATATAACATCTTTTTTACGGTAACTTCAGAAATGTTATAGGGAGAGTCCAATATATTTAATTTTAAGCTAGCATAACATTTCGAAAAATGAAACCAAATAAAGAAATATAATCGATTCTAGAAGAAATTATCTTGTTTCTTTTAAATTTGCATTCATAAAGTAGGTAGTTTAAACAAAATCTTTCATTGAAATCATCGTAAGTAGGGTCTTTAGCCAAATACGAACTACTCGAAAGCGTAGCTAGTTCCCGGTGAATCGTTATTATCACTTTCAGAAGCAAAAGATTTGTGGATAAACTAAGAGTCAAATTAAAGTACCTATTTGAATTGAATAGGAAAAGAAAAGATGAGAACAAAATTTATTTGAAATTCCCAAAACGAACACTCTCAAGGTTTTCTCTCTTTAATCGACTACGCTTAATTTTTGTTTCCTTTTTAAATCTTCTCATTCATTTGATAACTTCATTTCGCTGAATCTAATAGCTTTGAATTTATTCAGAATGTTAAGGAAAAGAGATTACGTATTGATCGCTATTTTTTCATATATTATTTTACTTACTGTAGCTTTTATGCTTAAGAAAAAGGAAAAGTTTAAGAATGAATGTAACACAAGTGATCACTGTGTAAGATTTTGTTGTGAAAATCATTCAACATGTAATGACGACTTTATCAAAAAGAATTTCCATCTAAATAATTTACTGCAACTTCCTGATGATTTTGAGTATAGTGCTAGCGAATCATTGAACAGAAGCATCAGAATTTTATATGGGAAACCTTCGTGTGTTGCTCATACAATTTACACAAATAATGGCACAGGAATGTACACGGTAGAATTTTAGAAACTTTCTTAATGACACTTTTATTGATGATTTTTTTAAAGTTTCATGATAAGTACTTGTACGTTGATAATTATTTTTACAATGAAGAGAAATTCTGCTTCCAAGATGAGACGATTAATGGTGAGATTGAGTGGAAAATTCGTTATTGCAAGTATGACCACGACTTTAAAAAAATATTTTATTTAATCGGTAAGCTTCAATATTTACATCATTTCATTTAATTAATTTTATTCTCTTATCATTTCCTCAGTATTCTCTGCAGCAGTGATAATGTTGACCGCTGTTGTCATAATTTATGCTTTCGTCAGAGAACTGAAAACTCTCCATGGGCGGATTGTGTTGATGTTCACTGCAACTTTGGCTTTTGATTATATTTTCTGTCACACTCCCTTATTACATGGCTTTGGTGAAACATTTCCAAGTGCTGTTTTCATCATGAATACAGTTTCATTTGCAATAACAGTTCATTGGTTGACCATCATGTGTTTTGACATCTGGTTGACATTTCGGTATTTATAATTTCAAAACAATTTTTTGCTTATAATTTGAAGTTTTTTTGTTTACATAAATCTAGAAAACTTAGATCATCCTCTGATGGAATGGAAAGATTCAAATATTACTGCTGTTATGTATTTGGATTGACAGGATTGCAAGTCCTTTTCTTGCTCGGTGAATATTTGTTTTATGATGGCTTGTGGAGGAAATTTCGCCCATTAGTTGTCATAACATTCACTGCGTTTTATTTTATTGCTTGGATTGTACATCTGGTATTGGTGATTATCACTGGCATCAAAATATTCAAAATGTCGAAGGCTTCAAACAACTCAGAACATTCGTGGTTCGAGAGTGAAACATTAAGGTTTAAATTTCTGTTTAAAAGTTTTGATTGTTTATAAAAATGATTTCAATTTTCTTTCTTTTATAGATACTGGAAATATGTTTCTGTTTTCGGAATCTTATTAGTAAATGTAATTAACGAAATGATGAACCCGTCAATCGATTTCGAAATGCATTATTCTAGTCTTTCTGCTATTTTGGTGTTTTGTTCAGCATTCTGGATTTTCGTGATCTTTGTTTTACAGAAAGATGCTCGAAATGTGATATTCAAGAAATCTGGAGTTGTGCATGAAAGATTTAACCAATTAACAGGACAAAACATCTGAAAGATCAAATGTCGTTAATAGCATAGTAAT